ATTTTTCTACCTCTCCCAACCTGCCAGCATTGATTACCCTGAAGACGGGATTGACTGAGCAGGACAAAAATATACAATTTATGTGAAAAGCAGACCGTCACAATCAGCACCAGCCATCAGATTAATCTGAACTAAAGCTACCGTCCAAGTCAGGCAAAGAATAACACAACGCTCAATTTTCTCTTTTGCTGTTTCTTCCATTTTCCTTTTTCTCTCTTACTTTGATTGTGACCTCAGCCTTTGCACACAACCCATAACTTGGCAGGGGGGAGATCTGCGCACAGTAGAAAAGGCCGGGCCAGTCCCTCTACCTTCACGTCCCTGGACGAGCCCGGGGCCTACCAGGATCACATGCCGGATGCGGCGAACGTACACATATGGGGCCTTTCCATACGAAACGTACAGATAATATCTGTACGGGAACCTGTACGCCCTCGTACGACCCGTACGGAAAAAAAAAAAAAAAAAAAAAAAAAGAGATCCAAAAAATTCGAAAAAAACTATGTGATGTAAAATCCCAAGACAAACAACATTTGCGTGAGCATCATCTGCAGATTCTTATTAGAATTGGAGGAAAAAAATAAAAACAGTAAAAAACAATTAAAAAAAGTCGTACGGGCCTTGAGTACAAGTACCGTACAAGAAATGAGTACAACTTCTACTCGTACGGGGTTGCGTACGTATCGCAACGTACGCTGTGCTGTAAGGCATGGTGCCGAGCCTGCGTCAACCAAACACCCTTTCCTTTCTGCTAATGGGGGTGCTATCCTTTGTATCCAAGACTGGTCCAGGAACAGGTTGAGCACACAGTGCATCTACTACACAGTGGAAAGGCCATCTATGCAGAGGTTGTCGGTGTTACACCACCGAGAGCCAGGACACCACGCCCTCCGCCACCACCGAGCTCTTGAGTGAGTGCAAGTGTGTATGTGTGGTGTGCGTGAGAGAAAGAGCGACTGTGCGCGAGTGAGAGTTTGTGCTGCAAGTGCGAGAGTGGCAGTTTCCTCCCATTTGATTGTAAGGTTGGGCCTCCAGGAATCTAGTTCCAGGAGGGGAATAGTTCTCTATTGTTCTTTTCTTCTATTCCATCTTTTCTTGCCTCAACTCTCTAAGATTGCTTGCTGGTAAGAAACAAGAGGACTGCTGGTATGCCACCCCGCAGAGTAGATGGGGCATGTGATTGGGTGTGAAAAAGAAAAAGAAACAATCATCTATTTGAACACACGTGACCGAAGCTTCGAAAACATATATGCAAAATTGCAAATTTCCCTCAGCTTCACTCTTCTTTGAATGTTCTCGTTTTTTGCAGATACCAATTTGGTTACTAGTAATTATTACTGAGTTGTTGCAATACATTTGGTTACTACCAAGTTGTTGCAAGACATTACCGATTCCGTGTGAGCCCGCAAGGTTGACCAAGTGCACGTGAGAGTGAGGGGGCGTTAGCGGGAGGGACCGACTTCACAAAGAGTTCTTCAGCGTGTTTGTCTGTGTGTGTATGCATATGAGTGTGTGTGCCGGTGTGGGTGGGTGTGGATGAGCGGGGCGTGGGTTGTGGGGTTGTCGGGGTGCGGGCGGCGATGGCGAGGGTCAGGGCGAGGATGATGACGAGGGTGTGGGCCTGCGCTTGAATGATGTTGGCTATACGCAACTCCAGACAAAAAGCATGACTACACCAGACAGTTTCGTCGGAGTTCCACCAACTCATCATGAGGTTGTACCCAACCGTCTGCCCAGGATGCATTTTGACTGATCAATACGAGTATTCCCCGCCTTGCCCAGCGTTAGTGATACCCCAGAGAGAGAAACGTGGTCGAACTTTACTTACACTGACCCCTCAATCCTCGCAAACCATTGGAAGCAGGTAGAAGTAGGTCAGTCTGAGAAACTACGTGGTAAGTTGTAGCAGCCATAAGACCGACTCCACACACCCACTCAGCCATGTGTGTGTAGGCGACCGGCCGAGAGTGGATCGGTTTGTGCCATCCGCAGGTTGTACCAGGGGTTCTCCTCATTTCAAAGCCCTGTAGAAACCACTAAAACCGAAAATGGCCAAATATTTGTTGCCCCGCCACGATAAACAGTGTACATCCATGATCTTGGATGTGCATTTTGTCTGTCAATGAACTTCACTATGTGCAACTTGCATTGAAGACCATGGATAACCTTCTGCCGGGTTAGTCCATTTTGGCTTTCACGGGTTAGTCCATTACGGTTTTGGTGGTTTGTAATGGACTACCCTTCTACCATAAGCCTGTTTCCGAAACCAATTGCACCCCCCAAATTCCATCGAAAAAGGCACCCATTCGGAGACCGGCAAGTGTAGCAAGGTATGTGGTATCCAATTAAACAGGTGGTGGAAGTTCCCCCTCTGCGACAAACCCGCCCACAATGGATGTACAAAAGCTTTTTGGCTGATGCCTCCCACACTACCCGTAAACCTTCCTGTAACTGTGCGGAGGCATAAGCAGCATAAGCCAAAGCTTTTACGAAACAGAAGACGCAGGCCAAAGCTTTTTGAAAATCGATCACACATCCCCCCATTCCCCACTTCGTAGTAACACACGACCTTACATATCTCCCATCCTGTGCCTCTCTACACCTCATTGAATGCACCCAGGTGGTCTTCCGATTCCAATCACCCTCTCATCTCATTCACCTCCCTACAACTTCACTACTGGACAAGTTGCTCTTTCTTTTTTTTTTTCTTTTTTTTTTAAGTTTAAACAAAACACCCCTGCCATTGCTAGTGGTGCTCATAAGAGCAGACACCGCTAGCACCTGGGGGCGAGGCCCCATCTACTGGACAAGTTCTCGTTTTCGAGAGGCATGAATTTCAGATTCTTCTTCTGATTCCAAAGGCGGCGGGGAGGTAGGTAATATGTTTGTCATGATGCCTAGCAAACAAAAAAACAAGAGGAAGAGGGGGAGGCGGTGGAGGGAGGTGATTCTCATAGTCTTGGGGAGATGCAATGATCCTTGAAGTCAGGGGATTAGTTTTTTTTCCAATACTAGGATACCCCCAAGGAGTAATGGGTCTTTTTCTTCCAATGGATGTACGACCTTCTCCTCCTCCATGAGGGTGGTCTACTGGATTCATTGCTGTGCCTCTTACTTTAGTACACACTCAACTGGGCATGAGCTACTTAAGGCACCACTGACCCTGACGCAACGCAAATCATCCGAAGTTCGGAACATATCAGTTGTCCCAGCACTGGAGCACCAATCGAAACGTTTTGCACACTGCTGGAACCAGAAGGGGACAAAAATAAACATGCAGACTTTTCAAGTTTTCCTGCTGTTTTCTTTTTTTTTCTGTTTTGTTTGTTCCAATGGACGACAGATCAGACATCAAACTGATCCGAACAGAAACAGAAACTACGCTTCGTTGTTTTTTCCCCAATTTGTTCTGCTACGATAATTTTCTCTTTCCATCCAGAGGTTTATCATTCCAATACTTTCCTCGAAAAAAAAGAAATCGATCTACAATTATCTACACGGCCCTGATTTTGCTCCAGACGTTCCCGCCAAACAGCTATGGGTACATAAGATAGCCAAAGTTCGGCCCACTGCCTCCTCCCGAGTCCCAACCCTCCCCCCCCACCCCGGTTGAGCTGCATCCCCACATCATAAACCACATGCTCCACCGCTTGTGCAGGCCCCCAAGTTTCAGCCTTGCAACCGTACTCCCCAGGCGGAGTGTTTAACGCGTTAGCTAGGTCCCTCACCGAATCGCCCCCAAAAACCACTGGGTGTAGACCAAGGACCAACACTCATCGTTCACGGTAAGCGACCATGCAAACTGAATTGGGTAGCAGCATGAGAACCATATGATGGTACGTTATTCCCACCCACACATTCCGATGGCCCAATTGGTTAACCTCCGGTCGATCAATGAAAGTCGGACAATCATACACATCGTGTGCGTCGGACATTTCCCATCAAGATGAGATGGATTTCGGTATGATGTTGGACACAAGGCCAGCCCCACAGAGTCTCCAGCAGTACCCGTACACACCTGTTCAAAGGCTGCCACTAGCATTTCCAAGTGATTGTTCGGCCTCGTTCACCTCCCCTTCAGAAGCCGCTTTTCCTCAAGTAGCACATACCCAAAGAAGTGTCTGTAGACTCTGTACTGCCATAATTAATGGCAGGATAAACTGGTTATAAGCTATAACAGGCCGTTTTCCGGGCGCCCGGGCACCCAACTTCTGCCTGGGTACACACCCGGGTGCCCGGCCGTGCATGACCCCCAGGCATGGTTCCATGTAGCCTCAGCACAAAAAAAGAAAAAAGAAAAAAAAAATCCGGAAAAAAATATGTTGTGTAGAATTGAAATACGAACGACTTTTGCCTGAGGCTCACATAATTCCTCACAGAATCGGAGATAAAAATGAAAATAACAAAATCACACAAAGGCACCCCCTTCAGCCCTTTCAGCCCCTTCAGCCCCTTTTATACCCCCCCCCCCCCCCCCCCCCCCCCCCCCCCAAAAATCGAAATGAGCCCGGATATCGGGTCCTCTGGGAGGGTGCAGAAAAATAATAATAAAAAAAAAAAAAAAAATTTTTTTTTTTTCACGCCCGGGTGCCCGGCCGTGCGTGAGAATCTGCCTAGGTTATAAGTGCTCAATCTTCTGAGCTGCATTGCTGTTGGGACCACAAGATTACAAAAGTGGCAGGTTCGGATGGAGGGGACGATGATAAAACCCACGTGGGGGACGAGGAGGGAGAAGTGGCGAAGAGGGAAACAAAACAAGAAGAGGAGGAGGAGGAAGAAGAAGATGAAGAAGAAAGGCAGTTGAAAGAGGCAGGAGGGAGGGTCCCAATGCAGAGAAATTGGACCATGGGAATAGCGTGTGGGCCCAAGCTGTCAGGTAGGGACTCACCTTCCCCATGCTGAATAATGAAGCCAAAAGAAAGAAAGAAAGAAAGAAAGAAAGAAAGAAAAAAAGAAAGAAAAGAAAAGAAAAGAAAGAAAGAGAGGAGGACGATCTTGGGAAAACAAGGTGCGCATTACGCAGAGCAACGCAACAAATCAGCTACCGTACTGTATGATTAATGCACACACACTGACACACAAACACGCATTTGGAAAATGGCAGAGAACCTCCCACAAAAGAATATATAGTAAGCATCATCTAAAAAGAAATAAATGAAAAAAAAAAACATAGCATCATCTACACGACGGGAAATGACAAAAACGTCCACGCTCGCTTGTTCACAGCCGTCCAGAGTCACAAACGCTTTCGCAGAAACTAGGAGGAAAATTAATTTCAAAGAGCAACACGGCAGCAGAGACCTCTAACAAAAATTCACATCTACAACACAAACATAAAACGAAACGATGATCAACAGAGCATAAATTGCATTCACAAGAACAAATATCATGCAACCAAACACAAGATAGAAACACGAGACTTGTCGATCGATGACAGCAATTTATTGCTGCCTGTCTCTCCATCCTATCTCTCAAATGGTGATTGATCCTTTTCAGTTACATAACGACCAAGCGCAGTGCGCAGCACACCCACCGCCAGCCTGCAACACAGGCGGGAGTGTAGAGAAGCAGTTCCCTCCTGCAGCAGCTTGCAGCCTGCCTCCCTTGCTGAATCGCAAAGACACTACAACCGATACATTGCCCAGGAGGAGGGGCCACGCCTTCTTCTTCTTCTTCCGCGACTTCGAGCGACGTGATGCGCACAACATTCCTGCGGAGTGGTTCTTGGGGAGTTCTGTGCAAGAACCTTATTAACCTGCTCTGCCAGGGCAGAGGGGTCTTCGCGGATGTGTGTGCCTTGGAAATGGCTGTCTCATGCGCTGAATGACAGTCAGAATGACGGAAGACAGGGAGGAAAATGCACTGATCAGATCAAGCACAGAGCGTGCTTGGGGCGGAAGAAGAAAACTCGATAAGGCCACAACAAGTGAGGACCACAGAATCCGAGATGTCTCATCCGTGGCCAATGTACTTGTTGGTACGATTGCCACTTCTTTTTTCGATCAGGCCTCACCCTTCACACAACTGATCGTCACACTCCCATTTCTATCTACCACTCAGTCGGTTTGGTCAAATGGAATAACGAGACGGAATCGGACTCAGAAATTTGACACAGCGACTATCTTACACTCTGCATACCTGTACATGATGTTCTGCCAGATGGACCAGAAAATGCGGCCACCACCACTGTAATACCAGTGGGCTGTGCATACCACAAAGGGACGTTTCCCTTAGCGACCGACTACTCACCTGCTTCTCCGCATGCAATACCCCGAACAACTCTTTGAGGGAAGTATACAATCAACCCCAGCCTCTCCACCCTCTCCTTCATTATGATTCCATGTGCCAGGCAATGGAGTGGAAGTCTGATGGGTCACATCTGTGATTGAAGTTCATACCTATGAAAATTATGAATGAGTGACTCATTGCCTTCGACGTCTGCGATGAGCCGTATCTGGGTGAGCAAGCCAACCTCCTCCTCCTCCTCCTATGAACAGTTACGAGAGCAACAAACTCACCCCACTGGCCTGCCTCCAGTATCCACCAAAAAGATAGTTTACTCAGCAGCACCCCCCCTGCATATTCAAATAGCATGTTGGGCAGCATACCTGTCTATTTGCGGTTCAACCTCGGAAAGGCTGCAAAATACCGTACATGATACCTCATGGCCAGAGGTGGAAGTCGCGGCGAGCCTGCATTTGGAGAAAAAGTGCTGATTCCTCTCCTCTCCCCCCCCCCCCTCCTCTTTCCTTTTGACCTGTGGTGCAGCTGACAGCTTGCAAAATTGATGTACCAGCGGCAAACCACGTCGCAGAAATTGTTGGGTATATCCACTTTGCTTACGGTCGACTCCTTCCTGTTGGTTGTCATCATAATGGCCATGGCCAGTTCAGTAGTGGCAGATAAAACATTATCTATCACATGTACCCTACTGTAGGCTGCTTGAAAGGCCAAGCGAGAGCTCAACACCACCATTAAGCTCCGAAATGTCGTCCCAGAGGGGCTTCTTTGTCATTCGGTGGGTCGGCAACGACAGTGACAATGAGAGTGGGCTCTCTGGGGATGAAGGATCCTCATCCTCCACAGCAGCAGGCCGCTTACCTGTATCGCAGTGCCGTGAGGGATTGCCTTGCATCAGATCGGCGTTGACACACGACCTTTCCAATTCCGAAAGAGCTTCCGCATTCCTTCCCTCCAATCCCTTCTTCTTGTTTATAGGAGGAACATGCACAGTAGCATCCAGTGAGCGTGAGTCTTTGGCATCGCCACTGCCGCCAACTCCCATCGCGATACCATTCTGGGTGAACGGGGATGGTGCCGCTGCTGCACCCTGCGCACCTGCTGGCCAAAGAGACACCAAGCTCTTCTCCGAAGTCATTCTGATGGCTGTGGACTCCACCCCCCGCTCCCGCATAGGCATCATTTGTCCTTGCTGCTTGGCGTGCCGCCAACTTCCCAAATCTGTAACCGGAACAGAATGCCTCGTATTGTCACCCTTTCTGCATGACTCCTTACCTCTAAGCGGCACAAAGAGATTGGCGAACTGCAATGCAGGCCCATCCGTATCCTCAGCTAACGAGTCAAGGCAACTGCCTGCACCCAGCTCAGGAAGAAAAGAGATCATCCTTCTGTTCTCACAGCTAGCAGGTGCTTGTTCAGCCATCATATCTACAGTCCATGATCGATCTTCATCCGCCTGTGTTCCCTGCCAACCATGGTATGACCTGTGACCAACACCTTCAGAGTCTGTGACCGACTGCGGCTTTGCCTCGGCGTTGACATCAAAATCTGGCAATTCCACATCTTTCTCGTTCGCTGGAAGTGTGCGTACAGGACTTGATTTGGATAAGGTGATCCCCCCTGAAGCATCAACTTTTCGCTCGTCCGCCTTTCTGCTATTGACATTACCTTCTGCGTTGCATTTTTCTGGAACTGAATTGCTCGGACATAACGCTGCCTGTCCTTCGACAGGCATGGCATCATCGGTAGGGGACTCTGGATCAACAACCACACAGACCCTCTTTCCAAACAGTTCCACTGCTTTGCATTGTCCCAAACTCCTTCCTGCAGGTAACACCATGGGACCTGACACCCTTTTGTCCAAATCTTCCAGGGCGACATGACCAAGCTTTCCTTCAGATTTATCAGGATGGTCACCGTCACCCTGCACCATCCGCTCACCTGGTACTCCTTGTATGGGACGCGCGTTCAAAATGCCAGCATGCTCGTCGATCTCCACAGACTTGCTGTCTTTTCCTACTTGCCTTGCCGGGTTAGGAACATCGTCCTCAGAAACTGTAGCACCCGCCGACGCTACCTTTTCAGCTCTTTGGGTGTGCTCCTTACGGCTTATAGTATCCCCTTCACTGGTGGGACATTTCCGATGGCTGATTTGGGCATCGCTTGAAGCAGAGTTCTCACCCTCCCGCTCCCTATTCCGTGGGCTACTACCTATTGTAACCAAATCGGCCATTACTTTCCCGCCTACATCCCGATCATCACCGGACGTCCTCTCTCGCCTCTGGGTATCCTTCTCAGCTCTGTTCCTTTCTCTTTCCCTGTCCCTCTCCCTTTCCCTCTCTCTTTCCCTCTCCCTTTCCCGCTCTCTTTCCTTCTCCTTCTCCCTCTCCCGCTCCCTCTCTCGCTCCCTCTCTCTCTCCCTCTCTCTCTCCCTATCCCTTTCCCTTTCCCTCTCCCGATCTCTGTCCCGCATTCTGTCTCCATCTCTCTCACGGTAACTAGCTGAATGCCTTAGCCTTTCTCGGTCTCGATCTCGTTCCCTCTCCCTTGGCATATCCCTTTCCCTGGCCAACTCCCTATCCCGGGCCGATTCCCTGTCCCTCACCGTGTCTCTGTCTTTCATTGAATCCCTCTCCCTATAGCTACTTGAACGTCTCACTCTCTCCCTGTCACGTTCCCGCTCCTTGTCATGATCGTAATCCGGTTCCTTATCCCTATCTCTTTCCCTGCTCAGTTCTCTCTCCTTCCTGTTTTTCAGTCGCTCTTCCTTCTCCTTTTCTCGGTCCCTTTCTTTCTCCCGCTCACGCTCACGGTCTCTCTCTTTGTCCCTCTCCCGCTCCCGTTCTCTTTCTCGCTCCCTCTCCCGTTCCCTTTCCCTCTCATAATCTCTCTCCCGTTCGCGCTGCTCTCTTCCCAGCCCCCTGCCACGATCTCTTGCATCTACTCTCCTTTCTCTCTCTCTCCTTTCCCGATCGTTTGACCGTTCACGATGCGTGGCAGCCAAGGGTTCATCCTCAGGAGTAGAGGACCTTGACCTCTTCAAGAATCTCCAACTTCCAGAGTGGGAGAAAGCTGGCGAAACACCTGACGGCACATTCTGTTGCTGTGGCTGTTGCTGTTGCTGTGGCTGTGGCTGTGGCTGCTGCTGTTGCTGTTGCTGTTGCTGATGCCACGAGGACGCATGAGGGCTTCTAGCTGCCCCTGCCTGATGCAGCACAGCGACTCCGGATGCACCACTTAGGCTCAAATTTCCAGGCAAAGCACCTGAAGAATTCATTGAACCGTCCATAGGGCAACACACTGCACTACCATCCGCAATGACCTTCTGCGTTCCAGCAGTTCTTTGAGGATCAGTCAGGCGCAGTTTCTTCGGATCTGGATGACAACTAAATGGCCCTTCGCCCTCAGGTCCACTCAACTCCTCTGTTGTGCCGGTGTCTGGTCTCTGTTCACCAGGAATGTGTAAGACCTCCGCAGTCGTATCTGTTCCCTTTGGTGGTAAGTCAGCCACCACTTCTGCAGCCCTTTGAGCATGGCGCAGCAGTTCTTCATGTGCTTGCGAGTCGTCCAGTGGTGAAGGTGCAAGGGCATTTGCTACGCCACCCTGAGAATCACTAACATCATTTTGAGCTGAACCCCCTGGAGTGCTGTCAATATCTTGACCTGGAAACCCTGGAGGAAAAGTCCCTTCCATAGCGACTTTCGACTCGGGCAGCACGATGGGTCCTTCAGAAGTCAATGGATGGCTTTGCTTTGCAGAATCCAATGCTTGGGCGTTGGCAGCTATCCCAGCAACTTTCGCAACAGTGTGTTCAAAGCCAGGAGGAAGAGGTGGGAAAGAATCCTTCGAAGACAGACCTTGTGCCGGAAACCCCGCTGTCCCCAGCTTTGCCGGAGGAGGGGGCTCACCAGAAACAGAACTTGCAGGTTGATAATTAACAGGGGAATGAGAAGGCGGCTGCTGCTTTTCTGGAGGGGGAAGATTGCTGCGAGCAATGCTACTTGGCGGCTCCACACTAACAAGGGTATCAGGGTGCATTGTGGCATCTGCAGGCTGGACATCCACGTGCTTCGTCGGTTGTACTTCAATCACACTATTTCCTTGTAACGGTGCTGCAATTTCAGGATGCACGGAAGCAGAGACGAGCAGTTCACTAATACGAGGTGACTGCATTTCGGTAGAGACGATGGAAGACCGGGGTGCAGAAGGTATGGCCGATTCCACTTGCGTGGTGACGGGAGAGCTGAGAGGCGAAACTGCAACTGTGCGTGGGACCACTGCTGGTCGTGCATCTCCCGAAGTCCCGCCCAACACAGGAACAAGCGGGACAACAGGCGAAGGTGGCAATGGAGGGGGTGATGCTGGCATACCTTCTGATTGGCCACTGGGCTCAGGGGGCAGTGGAGGCAGGGGAGGTGGTTCAGTCCACTGCGAAGCAGTCCTCTCCGCAGAAACCGTAACTGACGAAGACTGTACAGGAGATGGAGAGGGAGGCAGTGGGGGAGGGGAGGGGGGTGGACCCTCGGGCGGTGGAGGAATCATGGAACATGACGGGGCAGGAGGATCATTGACCGTTTCCGCAGTGGTCGTGGAGTTAGGACCATCTGCTTCATCGATATCCATGTCCACTTCCATGTCTTGCTCCATGACTTGTGCGGCACCCTCTTCTCTCAATGGTGGTTTCAAAACTGTGGCCTGTGGCTGCGATGGCTTCATGTCATTGGAGGTCTGTGAATGCATTGATTTCACCTCAACAGCAGCAACATTAGCCTGGGACGTTCTTCGATCAACAGCAGTCTGCTGTGCAGGTGGTGTGCCAGAGCGTGCTGCGGCTCTTCCTGGAGCAGGTGGTGGACCCCGGCTTCGGACAACAAATACTCCCCACATGAACTTCGGTGGACATCCTCCTGCAGAGACATGCGACAATAAATAACAACATTAATTGACACCGGACAGAACAGAGAAATAGGAAGGCACAGACATCCCAGACATTTTGCACACTGAACGCCACATATATCAAGGAGCAGTGACCACAATTGCGGGGATTTAATGAATACAAAATGAAATAAAGAAGCGTAATCTCTGATGTGAAAGGAGGGATTCACTGGACATCCCTCTAACTGGGAGTTTGGACCCCAATAGAATTGGGCCTACAGAAATCAGTACCTCATGAATACATTGGGCCACACTATTCAGAACCCGAAGGGTGCCCAGCTGCGACTCCAACTTTTGGTCAAAACAGCCCGAAGCAGGTCTCGTCAAACCTTGCGCACAACATTGTGTCCCGGAATGTGCCCAACATCGGGGACATATCCCTGAACGGCCACACACATCAGTCTTTCACTGCTTTCAGTTAGTGCACGCGTTGCTCCGACTCATTGTCCTTGTTCTTCTCCTCCATCCCGATCCGTGTCCGCCAGAGAAGCCATAGGACTGCGAAGGGGCAAAAAAAAAAAAGACTTGTAACTGCATAGGACTGCGAAGGGAAAAAAAAAAAAGACTTTTAACTGTTCATTCCAGTAATAGAATAGGATGAGCATGCACGAACCTACAGGCCTAGCTCAGTTGGTACACCCATGAACTGTTGAAATACAGACCGAAGTTTGAATCAAGAAGCAACCAGATGAACAGAAGATAATTTTGAATTACCTGGGGCCAGTCAGTTCAGTGACCATATCTCAAGGCTGTCGATGTTTGAAAAAAAAAAAAAAAAAAAAAAAAAAAAAAAAAAAGAAAAGAAAAGAATGGACGAGATTGTTGTGGACCGCAAACAAGTTCCGGCTGAGGGTCTATGCAAAACCGCATACCAAGGGAATTAAAAATCATATAAATTTATAAAATTATAAATGCACAACGATCCACCCCTTCAGACACCTGCAAACCCTCTTGGTAACCCTTCACACCCCTTTTTATTAGTTTTTAAGCCTCCTTGTACCCCTTCACACCCCTTTTTCAGGGCTCTTTATACCCCCTGAGACCCTATTCGAGCAGAGAGTATTGAAACAGGCTCGGATTTGGTCTGATGCCAGGCTAAGAAGATGTCTCTAATACTCTCTATGGGCCTCTCTTCTGACTTGTATGGAATTCCAGACCGTTGATCCTGGACCTGTCAAGAGCCCACAGTGCCCCACACAACCTGGGTGGCTGAGCCAGACAGCCCTGAACGTGAACCCCACTCAACATTGTAATTTGAATGCTAACAGCATCATATGTGAACACCGCTCACACTGTAAGTTCAATGAAGGCTTATTATGCCTGTGCACTGTGATGTACTCACCAGGGCGATCTCGCGGAAGATGCATTGAGTGAAATATCAGCAAATCCGCTTCAGGAAGCTTCGCAACAAGCACATTGTCTTCGTCTTCCATAACCTTCACTATATGATCGTACTGAGTTCTGCATTTTGCAACGAAAAACATGAAGGTTAGACGCAATCACTACGCCAGTTCCTAACATGCTGACCTGTTCTACAATCAATCATGAAATAAATGACGAAGCTCCTTCCACGAAGCATTCTCCCAAGGAAAAGTTGGAACGACACAGAGTAGATTCGCATGGCCCCTGTGCAAGAAAGGAAAGGAGGAGAGAGGGAGGGAGGGGGGGTATGGTAAAGGATGAAAGAACCTCAGCCACAACATGCAAGCCAGCATGGTACTGCAGTTGAAAGGCTTCCAAACATTCTCAATGTCCGCAATCTATTCTCCAGCACAGGTACAAGATACACGTCATGATTGAAAACACATGCCTCCAGTGAAGATCACACCGGACCTCTAGCATGCATGATCACCACCCTCACCTTTGATTATCTGACGACGGGAAGAAATACAGCGCCACATTTCCAATCGAAACACCTTCCCTCATGAATGTCCTGGGCCAAGTCTCAGGATGCTGCCTTGGCAACATCTCCACATCAAGAATAGGCGGGAACCTCTGTGCAGCCCTTTTTGCCATCTCATGAGCTGTCGTGGATGGCCGCACTTCCACACCACTTGCCAGGGTTGTCGACCGGAGTGTGCCCCTGAGATCATAGAACACACGTTACAAGCCACCATTTCAGGCAAAAGTCCAGTCTACCACACAGCAGCCATAGATTTAAAAATGCGCTCCTTGATGACAAGGATGCATGCATACCCACGTGTACACACACATCACTCCCGGCCCCCCCCTTCTCACACACACACAGACACATCTGATGTGCTGATATTGTGGCCTTGATATAGAGGGGGAATACAACAGTGAAGGGGATGGAGGAGTTGGGAGAGGAAGCTGGGGGGGGGGGAGACAAGGGAGAATGCTAGTGGCATTGGTGGCTAATCAGCTAGATGACAACGCGTGGGGGAAGCATAGAAGGTCAGCTGCGACTGCCAAAGTTTGAACGTGTCGCACCCGGGGCCCATTCATGTTGGACTCGACTCGATGTCTTCAACAGAACTCAGAAACCGGCCCAATTCGGGCCATCGACCTGTGGATATCAATGGCCCAGATTGGGCCTCTTTTTTTGCAAATTCTCTGGGCCTCTCGGCCCAGATTGGAGGTTTATCACCATCATCTATCCGATGGGGGGAATTTCCTTCAGGCATCAGCATACAGCAATGATGGCAATGATGATGAACATTCGAATTTAATAATGATCCATCCATAATGACCCTGCCCCTACAGAAAACAACTGAATAAATGGCAACCAAAGCAAAGATATGGCTGACCCAGCATCCTCAACATATTTTTGACACCACCAGTACCTTTCCTAGCCACGTTCTACGACGCAGCAGTTCTCATGCTGCATCTGGGAGAATGCAGCAGCCTTCTGTTTCGCACCATGTTCATCCACGCAAAAACGGCTGCGTGCACGACCTGCTTTGGCTTTCCTGGGTGTGTTCCAAGCGAAACCGCAGGCCGATGCTGCGGTGCATCCCACCAGATGTGGTGTGAGCACTCCCGCATCGAGGAATGTTTCAAAATTGGCTGGGAGAAGTACTAGTTAAGTCTCTTCTCGCCACCCTATGCCGCCATGTCTCGGAACCCATCAAGAGGACTCTATGCTGCTCCCGCATCTTGTTGGGTCCACCTGCCCTAGCATTTGGGTCAACTGGTAGACAATAAGCTTTCCGCTCGCAGGTCAGCAATGAAGGGGCTTCAAAGACTGATAGGTTGGCAGTGTCATTCGGATATTCCTAGGCCTTAGAGAGACACCTAACTTATCACATCAAAAGACGTTCGCTTTTCGGGGCCGCACACATCAAGTACGTTAATGGCAGGTGGGCCCACCAAGAGCTCCAGAACTCCTGTGCGACATTTATGGGACCCCATCATGCTCCCACAAGCCTACAGGTGTCCACTGTTGACCTAGCATAGCACCATGCACCCTACATAGATTCCTGGACGTTTGCAACCCAACGTACCAGACCAACCACCACAACACAGAACATATCACCATGCAGGCACAAGTTGCACATTACTCAGAACACCGAAAATGGCAGGACATAATGAACCTGCAGATTGTCAAGCAAAGAGCTTCTATGTGTATATGGAATTAGGAAGCCGACAAGTCATACTCATGTACCCAGTCTCAGCAAATACAGCTGTGATAGAGTTCCATTGGATAGCGGCATGTCAGGACACTCGATTGATGCCTCAGGACAAAGATACCCTTGGGATTCCCACTCAACAGCGGTCTCATCAACCGTGCTATCCTTAGTTCAAACTGCACACATGCCATATAACCCACCTGACCAATCACATTTATAAGTTCATGCATTTGGTGTGAACTGTACTCTGTGTTTGCATTTGAGGGGTCAAAAGTTCAGATGTATAAAGAAATAACACACCTCCAAAGCACATTCTTTGATGGACGTGGAGGATCTTCTTCTTCATGTTCGTCTCTCTTCTGCGCAATCGGATGTGGACTCGCAGGCTGGACATATTTCGGTGGCACATTTCTACTTGCACTCAATTGGGGCAGAGCCGGGCCATCAGGCCTCCGAGTCCTTGCCTGAACATCCAGTGGCACAGCATCCACCAGACTACTACTCATTGCCTCGGGCAATGGCCTTGTAGCTGCCAATGTTTTAGGAAACCCAGGTGGGAAGTCCCCCAAAGGAAGAGAGGCAGCACCTGACGAGATTGCTTTAGAGAGCTCCCTCGGAGGGTTTCTTCCTATTATACGTGCCTTACAAGAAGGAACTACACCTGGAGGTAAATCCTCTCGTTCAGGGTTCCCCTGGAAACCGGAAGCCGCCATACCGGTTCCAGATGCAGCTGCACTGGACCCACCAGGAATGGGACCAACTCCAGCGGTAACCGTTGATGGACCAGATTCTGAAGGGGCTCGCAGCTGGTTTGCAGGACCTGAACTGCCGGAGGCTCCCTGAGGAGTGTCTTGAAAACCACCTCGAACCCCTTGAGTCGCAGCCGATGGTGGCTGGCCCATAGGAGCAGCTGCCATGGGATAAGGTGGGGTAGATACACCTGCACTGAGCATGGCCTTGCCCCTGAAGCTTGAAGGATTGGGGGGACGACCACCTACAGCGCTTGGATGAACTCCTGCTGGCTGCAAAATGGGAAGTGCATTGGTCAATGAAAACCCTGGCGGCCCATTGTGGCACAATTCGCTAGACCCTGCCAGGGGATCCGGCCCCCCATGGCGTTTCCCAGGTCCAGGACCTGGGGGCTGCATTCCTTGAGGAACCCCGTAGGGACCTCCTCCTTGTGGAGGCCCAATAGCAGGGCAAATCCCTGGCCCATTCTTGTGTGAGACATTGCCTTTGTCAACTGGAAGAGGCTGACACACTTGGTAGCCCGTCCGTGGAAATGCACCTTGCGCATCGAGGAGTCCACGCCTGTGATCCATTCCTCGAGGCCAGCAGTCAAACCCTGGTGGCCTCACCGGGATGTCAGAGGAGCCTCCATTCATCCTCACCCCTACACCACTGACCGCTCCCTGAGAAAATGACTCTGCAAAACGCCGCCCTCCATGGCCCATCAGAGGATGCCCACCCACACAATGTATGTCCCTTGTTCCGCTAGAATCTTCTGCACCGCCACCCACGAGAGGAAATCTACCGTAACCCACCTCTCGGACAACAGGTATATCTGCATTCACACATGCTGCAACCATGGCACACTCCGAACTTGCAACCGCAGTCTCATTAGCTATATGTTTTCCCACCAAAAGAGGTGTGGGAGGTAGCCCACCTTTACCACCTCTGCCACCCACTGGCCGCATATCACACTTTCCGGACCATACTGCTCCAGCAGGCTCCGCTGCCTCAAGAGGCACCAAACCATGTGAGGTGTTTACCTTCCACCGGCCAGCAAAATCATTGTCAAAATCACTCCTCTCTGACATTCTACTTTTTTTCGATGTGTGCCCCTCCCTCAGTGTCTGAGTTATAAATTCTGCAGCTTCCATCTTTGATCGAACAGATTCTGGAGGTCTTGGAGTTCCAGGATAGGGTCGCAGTAATGCACTGCCTTTTGACCTTAAACCTTGTACCTCAGCTGGCTTTCCGCAGCGAGCCAAGGGCTCAGCTCCTCGCCCACTTGCCGTTCCCTTTTCAGGCTGCTGTTTTCCAAGAATTCCATCGGCTGTGCTTTCACGATAACCGTTCCCTGCATTCACAGGATGAACAGGGGGGATTTCTGTGGTGTTGTTTCTCGTGTCAGAGGGGAAAGTAGTGCTGCCCCTCCTAGGGTCAAGCGACACTGCATCTGGAAGTTGTGTTACCCTGCCATGCCGCCTGTTTTCTGTCTCTAAAGCAATGTCCACTCGCTTCAGTGAATCCTCGCCCATAATGAATACCGGTGCAACAGGAACAACGCCCCCTGCAGAACGGACTGTCTCCTTCAGAGACTTCATTCTTTCTATGTGAGACAGCCGAATCCCAGCCAGCCGCTGGCTTGCCGAGAGTGTTGCAACCTTTTCAGTCGAGAGTCCTCTTTCAGAGGAGGTCCTCAGTGTCATTTTTTCGTTCTGTGCTTCATTCAATTCAGAGGGTGTGGCACAGCCCCCTGCCTCAACTCTCGGTTCCCTACCCACACTGGCAAACGCTGGTTGTCGAGAACCATCAGAGGCCTCTAGCAAAGCACTCCCACCTGCTACTGAGCTCGCCTGTTCAGGAGGCATCATGGAATACACTGCTGGCGGACTATCAACAGGAGTTTTTCTTTTCCCAGAAAAATTGGTCCCGCCTCCATTTGGCAGCACTGGGGCTGCTCCTCCAATACTTTGGTCAGACCTATCTTTCGGGGACAAGACTATCTGGGCTCTATCTCGTGAAAGAGAACCCTCCCCTTGTGATGATGACGCTCGAGGACTTGGTGATGTTGTTGACCCAGGAATGGCAGCCTTGCCTGTCTCCCTTACGGCCCCGCTGGCACTTCTTGATGTTAGATCGTCATCCTTTCCTTTCGTTGAACTCAACAAACGATCGGCATCATCACCCAATGAATTGGATGTGTGCACCAATGTCTTCAACCCACCTGGTGCATCACCTGTCAATCCATTCATCGTGTCATTGCTGGCATGAACCAAAACGCCCACGGATCGATTTTCCAGTTGATTCAGACCCTTTCTGCAATCACCCATCTGTGTACCTTGAGAAGACACCTCCCTCTCTCGCAAACCTGGAAGGTTGGGTGAACCAGCAGCTTTCTCACAGAGTTTGGATCTGCCAATGGCCTTGAGTGAGGCAGCTTCCACGGACTCCTTATCCTCTGTGCATGTTCTTTCACCAACCTGCCCGTCCTGAGAGGGAACCCCATCCTGGGATGAGGATGCTTGCAGTTCACGTTGTGCAGCCTCCCTAACGACCTTGACAGCCTGGAGCTCCTTTCCCTTAACTTCAGGAGCAACCCCCAGTCTCTGTGTCAAAGCACTCGGACAATCACCTCCATCTTGATCTTGATTCTCTACCTGCACGTCATCACTAGCGACAGTATCATCATGCAGTGATTCCTTAGGTCCACAGCTCAGATCTTCTCTAGACAAGGTCTTTATACATGCCCCACCTGTTTGTTGTATGGCACATATATCAAGACCAACTACGGAAACATCAGACTCACCTCCAGCATCCTTTCTTGGGGATGATGCAAGCGCAGCTTGTCCAACATCGGCTTCAGAACGGTGGCAGTTGGCACTCACGGAACCTCCACCCACCAAAGAAATTCGCTTCAAACCAGAACATGCCATTTTGGCATCTTCGTCTTGAGCATCATCCTGTTTTTCTGAAGTCTCCAACGCAGCCACAACAGCAGTAGTCCCTCTTTTGCCTCTTCCTGGAGAATTCTTGCCATCACTTATCTTCACCCCCTGACCCGTTCCACCTTTCTCCACATTCATTCCACTGGATTCGCCGACACTTGCAGCACGAACCGCTGGGAGTCCTACAATCACATCCATCTGAAGATTCTCGGATTCTTGAACTGGCTGCATGGGCAACCTCTTGCCTCCAGGCAGCGATGTAGTTTTCACCTTTTGCCGCTCATCACAAATGGGTGAGATGACTTCTTTTACAGCAGGTTTCTGATCAACAATGCCAATCACAAGCAGGGGGCGTGGCTTCTTCTTTTCGTCTGATACCAACCCCTCCCTTCGCACTTTCTTGCCATCCATGATCATAGCAGAAGTGGGGCCCATTCCACGGGAGCCCGTAGTGAGTGACTGCCTCCCACTGTCCGCCCCAGTGACAGACTCTTCCTTCGAAGCAACATCTGCTTTTGACTCTCTGTTTGACGCAGTTGGCCGTGGATGGAGCATTGCTCCCTTGGATGTACTTCGATCAGATTTTGTCAGGCTTTGTTTTGGGGTGACGGGACTTTCTAGCCCATCATGGCCCTTACCTTCTGGAACACTTTGCAGACCATCCTTGAACAGCATCCCTGACACTTGGCCTGCTGTTTTCGCCCCAACCTTCTGAACATTTGCAGCTTCCTGGCTCTTTACAGAAACATCAGCCCCTTTGGCAGAATCAATTGCACAATCACTTTTTTTATCATTGCCTCCATTCTGCCCTCCTCCAGGAAGGCTCTTCAATGGGCTGTCTTTTCTTCCAGACACTGACGTCTCTTGAGCAGTCATTGCTGGCTTCAATGGCTTGCATCCATCGTCAACAGGTACAGGTTTAAGCTCAGGCTTCACATGTTGAGATCCCTTGGTAGCCATATCCACTACCGCATCCAAGAGTTTTTCTCCAGCCAAAAGCATCCTGTCGGGGATACCACCACCTGATCCTTCCTTATCGACAACCCGTTCTCCGAGCCCCACGCCATTGGAGGCTACCCTATTGGCCTTGGTTACCAACGCCATACCTGTCCGCAATTGCCCCTCCTCTAGGGGACTAGCTTCTCCCGTTCCTGCGTGTCCATCCACCCTCTTCACTCCGAGGAGGGAGCTTCCCTCACCTGCTTTCATTCCAGTCACAGCCGGTTCCATCACTGCATCCTCAACAGCAATTGTTGGGGCCTTAGAACCCCCTACTATGCCCATGCCCAGGGTAACTTCAGATTTTCCTGCCTTCAGCAACTCTTTCTCGCTCTTCTTGATGAGCTTCCGCCTGCCCTCCGGAGGATCTGGTGAATGCTGCCGTTTACAACCATGGTTTCCAGCTTTCCCATCGGAGCCCGTGGGTGTTATCGCCTGCCCAACCCCACTTGGGCGCTTTCTGGCCACAGCAGGACTTATGAAATCCCCAGCGCTCCCACTGTCTTCAAGCCCATTGACCTTTGATGTGTTCCCTGCACAAACAGAAAATTCCAATTGTATAACCTCCCTTACTTCTTAGCATCGCAATCCCCTTTGCGAGCAGCCGACCATGCAATGTAGCTGAAATCCAGTCGTTGAATCAAAGAAAGGAAAAGCAGAGGAAGTCCTTAGTTCTGTGAGCCATCCCATTGGATACTCCGATACTGCCAGAGCAGGAGATTTCAGCCTATATCATCTGTCAACAGTCATTGTCTGAGACCTTGCATGGAATTTGGGAGAGAACAACATACATGACTGCACAGTGCACACCATATAATCCCAGATTGGCCAACGGTGTTTTCACAGGCCGTTACTCGTGAACTGCGCAGGCGAACCTGCACTGTGCACATGTACCAAGCAAACACTTTTGCAACCATGCCAAGTGTCACAGCCAAAACCAGAACTATTCCAAAAATGAAGATGAGCATCTTGCACGGGAAGGTGTCATTCAATTGCACAAGACATGTTCAAGACTAAAATCTTCAGAGTTCAGACCAAAAACGTCACAGCATCTCCACAGCTGGCGGGTTTGTGCAGATGCCATACCATCAGTTACACGTCAGCGATGCTCAGACTTGAGATGTCGGACTCTTTGATCAAGTAAACGGTCATCCGACTGCCCCACCATCTCTTCTAGCCATCGTCACCCAGGCTTGCTGACCAGACTGCTCAAACACAAACCATGAGTTTGACGTAGATTCTTCTCCAGCCCACAATGTTTATACACACCGATACATGCACACTCAGTAAGGACATAACACAGTGGTACAACACGGCATCCAGGTATGTCTTCCATGCCATGACAACTCACCCTTCTCCAAGTCCCTGCAGACAAAGCATGACCAGTTGCAAGTTGGCACCTTCCGAAGTGGCGGGCTCATACAATATCTGCCTCACAGACAACAAAGGGTTGCAAGTGGCCTCCTTGGTCAGTAGATGTTCACAAGAAAGACTCTACACCATTGAATGACTCATTTAATTGCATGATAAGAAGGATGATCTTCCTCTCCTTCACATTCTTGGACTCCTGAATACTTCAACAGGACACTAGTATTTGGCTTCCGAGGATTAGTGAAATCACTGTCAGTGGATGACACTCCTCTCACTTGATTGTTTAGGTTGAACACGGTGAGCTTTGGCTGTGACCACGTCAAGGTCTATGGCACCGCGAAGTGATTGACAGGATGCAATCGACCACGAGTCCTAATCCACCGCCTCCAATGGTGCAGCACCTTTTTCAAACCAGAGGGCTGCTGTTTCCCACCGTTAAGTCCTGAAAGACGCTTGGCAGGTTGCAATTCTGGCCCTGACCAGCCTCCTCTCCTGGATGTGTGTGCACCTATGGCTGCACACCTTGCTCTTTGCATTGTCAGTGTGGCTCATTGGTTGGACATGGGGGTGTGAAGCTTTCACCTAACAGACATCAAGCTGGTTCCAATGACCTACACGAACAACTGGAACAGTGTTCCAAGCCTTGGTGGTTCATGTGTGACAGCCTTGCAGAACATACCCAGGCCATTGTTCTCAGTGCCATCAGCATCTGCCTGGAAGATGCTTCCGTACCTCCTTGCCAGCTGTGCAGGAACGCAAACAGCAATTTGTTTGTCAAATCGACCTCGCCTTAACGAGTAAGGCACAGACAAACAATGAGCAGCATCAAAACTTGCACATGCTACAAAAGAACACTATTTACAGGAAAGTTTGAGCGTTTTAGATGATGCTATTATCTTGTGTGAAAGCCTCCACAAAAAGTCCACACCCATCGACAATGGACCGATATAGAGGTGATTCGAATGTTCCCTGCGCGCTACACAAAAAAAAAAGGCAAGCAAGAAAAAATGGGAGAGCAAAAACAGCGAAAAGCAGTGGTTACTACAGATCAGTCGAAGAAGAGAATAAAGGAGAACAGCATTTGGGAATTTGGAGAAGAACCGGCCACGTATCCACGACACCAGTGATTGTTGCCAGAAGACTACCGTTCCGTTCATTGGAATACATTTAGCATACCGGGCAGGTTCCAAGCACCTGGACAGTAGTCAGATTGCAAGCACTTCCACAATCTGCTGAAAACCGCCATATCAACAGAGACTGGCCGAAAATTTTCTTCATGAACTGAGCACGAATCTGCATAACTCAACAGAACTGTGCAAACACGGATTCAGAGAAGAGACTGAGGGAAGAGGAGACGACGGTTATGCCATCACAATCAAAAGGTCAACATCATAATCCGCTTCCGTGCAAACGAACGTCAAGACATCGACAGCTGATACCAGTTCCTGCTTCGCCTGGCCTGGTTTGTCCCTGACTCCATCCCTCAGAAGAGATTGCTGGTGGTTATTCTGCATCGCGAGAAACAGCAATGACCACATGTTTCCGCAGCCTGACGATTACCAGCTACCGAAACTGGCCTCTGGCGGGAAAATGCCCTTGCTGAAGGACCAGCCTCTTATTTCTTCTAGGGGCAGGGCTTCCCAACCACTCCATGCTACTCCCAGTTCAAGCCAGGTTCAGAAGTCATGAGCTCGTTCGCTCTCGCAGCAGACATAGGCCCACCAGGAGTCCAGAAACAGATGTTGCCTTGACACTATGATTTTGACACCGTCCACAGGATCTCGAGACTACCTGTCCCAAGCCCCCTAGGCTCATCCCTGCAAAACGTTGCTGATCTACTCAACACACGATCTGTCAAGAAACTCGATACTCCATAGCCAGTTCATATGTTCAACAGAACAGATTGGATTACACAAGGAGGCATTCTACCCCCTCAGAGAAGGCACAGATTGGATTACACAAGGAGGCATTCTACCCCCTCAGAGAAGGCATTCAGCAGGTCATTTCTACCTTGCCAGAGAAGGCATCCATGCAGCCATAAGATTGTCCAGGTCCCTCCAGCCTGCCAGGATCTCTCAGAGCAGGCGAGATACCCGTAGAGGCCCCCATAACAGGAGCAAGAGGGGCTGTTTTGTCAATCCAAACAGGCATGTGCCTGGGCTGGACATTCCTAGCCGTGAGTCATTCAGAACCACCCCCCAAAATGAGTAACCTAGTGAAAAACAATGTGCGATGCTCATCTGTTACATAAGAGTGCATGTAGCACAGAAGGACAGTGGGAAATACAAAGCCTGGGAAATTCACCACCAAATTAAACTCGAATTTGTAACGGGCACCTACCTACCACCCCATCCATCTCGCCCTTTTACCATTGCCCGTACTTGGCACCATTGCACGCCCCTGACATCCACCCCTATTACGGCCCACTCATGCTCGTGCACGTTCAGCTCTTCCCCATCCCTTGGGGCAACTCACCTGCCCACTCTTCTGCAGCTCCTTCAATTGCACACACCTCCCCCAAACCCCCACCACCAATTGTTCATCCCCCCCGTACTTTCACCCCTAACACATTACAGGCCCGACCTGGAGTGAGCCACCCCCTTCTTCACGCGGAGCCCGAACCCCTTGTCTTGCACGAGCTTACCTCCCCAACTGCTTCTATAACTCGAACGACAAGCCCTCCTAAACGGGATCATCTATAGCACATCTCTACTTGACGTTTTCTCACACGGCAGATAATTGATTTCATAGAGGCATTTTGCCAATAGGAAGCGGATGCCAAAGAAGAGGCAGACAGCGCAAGCAAGAAGAGGCAGTAATGTTTGCACAGGTTTACCCCTACCTCAACACGGGGTTATTGAAGCCAGAAGTGCACTTCCTTGTCCATTCCACGTGTGCAAAACCAAGGTCATTTACACCTTGAAGTGTGCTAAAGTTGAGCTCAATGACCCCCTTGCACAAAGGCTTGCTTGAGTGCACGTCCCACCTCAAAGCTGACACAGAGGCTCAACACCAGACTTGGGACAGCCTTGTCTGTTATAGCACACGATTGATGTATGGCACACGAAGGATGTGATGGCATGTAGTCTCCATCAAGTAATAGAAAGATGTAGAGGAGCACGCTGACGACAGATGATCATGGATATAGGATGGCAAGAAAGACAGTTAGGGGAGGACCGATGTTCGACGGATATAGCATACACCCACCCGAGTGTGGGCAGTTCTGGGCAGCATGACCATTGCCCCTGCAGTTGTCACCCTGTGAGTTTTGCTGGACAATTCAGCAAGCGAGCTGCTGCCTCCAGAAGATGGCTATGGTGTGGGCCAGATGTTTTCTTCAACGCCATGAACCAGGAAACCCAAACTGGGGATTGTGTGAAGGTTGCATGGAGTTGGCCAAACACACCTTCAACAACCCCAAATCATGTCTGCTTTCATTTGACGATGTGAGGACTCATCTTATGCCCAACGGACGTACAGCAAGGAGGACCTTGATGCTCTAACGAGGGATACAATCAAGGCAATCTTGTGTTCCACATGTCAACACAAGACACTGACAATGGACAGAAAAAGGCCCATATGGTACCATCATGATCCGGCCCCATGTCCTTCCGGACAATCTTTAGAATAGGAGCTATACAGACGAGACTAGCACGGAATACGCACTAATCAAGAAATGGTTCAAATTCGTTAGAAAGGATCCACCCCCATACATTTCTTTTGCAGCTTTGTGTTACAGGGGGTCGTCAAAGGGCTGTGAGCAGTCTCAGCGTCTTTCATATTTCAATGGGATGAGGAAATAGATGGCATGACGAGGTATGTGGTGTCACATAGACGGCATGACGAGGTATGTGGTGTCACATAGACGGCATGACGAGGTATGTGGTGTCACATAGACGGCATGACGAGGTATGTGGTGTCACATAGCTGACCTGATGAATGATGGACAGGCACTAGAGTTTGTCCTAATTGGTAACCATATCGATGCCGAGCCAGGAACCCCCCTGCGCGCCGAGTTTTGCCGAACCGCCGGGGCGCCGTTTCGTTTTCTTTTGGGCTGGCGCTTCCAGCCATTGTGGTCTGGTACCCCGAAGCCTGCAGGTCGTGGCGCGTTAACATGAAACACCTGCGGCCAATGTATGGGCCAAGCACTGATGGTTTAAGAAACATGGTCCATCCAGAGAGGATCATCTGGACCGGCTGGTCTGGTAACCCAGGTCCATTCTGAGGCATTGAGGCATTTCATACAATCCCGACCACAATGCCTTCGTCTCAGCTCACTCGCCCTCACCTGTTCAGCACGATATTGCCTTTGCTGGACGCTCAGCAAAGCCTGCCACAAGAGGCAACATTTCACAACGACCTTCGTTGTCGTCCAATACCCTCACTGAGGTTCAGCATTGTAACCCCTAAAAGAAGAACTCCACAAGGTCACTTCAGTGTTGCTTACCCTCACCCAAACGACATATTCAAAAACATTCTACGCGATTCTACATTGGGTGTGGCCGACGGACAATCTATCACATTAGCAAACATCTCATTCCCTTCGTTTCCATTATATTCTCTGCCAATCCATAGAAACCGATACCGTTGTCAAGTCTTATGGCAAATAGCATAAGCATCGAAACTACCACAAGATTCCAGCCAACCCACCACGGACCCCAACAACAACCCTCACACTAAAATGGAAGAACGAACCCTCGAGCTAAAATCAAAGAACGAGTGCAGAAGGTATCTTTACACAAAAGAACGGGAAAACAAACGCTGTGAACGACAGAGGAAGGGAAGAAGGCAAGCACAGTGTCGAGAAGCAAAAACTCATCAACAGAGGAGGGAGGGAGGGAGATCCGGAGTGTGGGAACCGAGGAAACAGGGAGGAAGGCCTGAAGAGACCTAGAGCTCCATGGGAAAAAGGGAGCACAGCCAACAGAAAGCCACTCACATGTGTTCTGCTCCATTGCATGATGAACAAGGCGCCAACAGCTTCATTTTGCCGTCGAACCCCCCGCCACAAATATTGCACACCCGAGACTCCTGGAAAAGGAGAGACAGAAAGGTAAGTTGTCATCGCACTCCCCTTGACCATCATGATCCACTTCGATGCTACTTAGTAGCTTTAGTAGCTTGCAAACCTAGAATGACAATTCTTGAAAAAACATCAGGAACGAAAGCATGCGCAAAAATGTTACCTCTTAGTGAACTTCCATTCTCGACATAGCAACCCCTCAACGACCTTCCAAACAGGCGCATCACACTTCTCCCTTTAACATCCACCTTTCTGTTGCCCTCCCATTGTACACACGCGCACACGCACACAGACACACACACACACACACACACACGCTCACGCACATACGCCAATCCAGCAGCATGCACAGCACAGAAGATGGTCTTACCTTCGGTAAAGGCTCAGCGCCCGCGGTGCTAAGCCCCATAGTGCCCTTTACGGTTGCACCGTTATCTTCAACCCGGCCACTAGGACCTGCACACAATGCATGCAGGATACATAATCGAAGGGGAAGAGCCCAAAAGCCATTAGAAATCCTATTTGAAAGATAGCCCACATCTAGCCCTATAGCAGGTAAAAGACTATGTGGCCTCCAAGCACTACACTGTTACCAATCATGGCTCTTGTTACTTAAAACCACCCGTCCACACAAACCTAAGCAGTGCTCTTACCGGTATACGAGATAAGAGCATTTCGATTCGGGCCTGGGCCAGAAGCAAAAGTGGCAGGCCACTTTGAAAAGACGCAGTTGCAGGCTCGCAAGCCTTGAAATAAGCTTCATCAACTTAGGCTCGTGTGAACAAAGCCTCGATGGACAAGTAACAAAGCATCAACACATCGGAGTATGCAAAGAAATAATTTAGAGACATGACACCCAGTAGGGAAAGCACCAATACGATCCAAAAGAACACAGGGAAAACAGATAGTTCATGTTGTTTCTCAAATACACAAAATTGAGAGCTAGAACCCTTACGTGCCAAACAACGTTGCTGAACCACCAGTATTAGCCCCAACACTACTGCTCAAAGCGTAGTGCATTGTGGTTGTTGTGGATGATTAAGGTCTCATGCTGCTATTTGCTTCAGCATGGTGCTTTCGCATACCAACCGGTCTCTGAGTGAGAGAAGAAATGGGTTGTGAAGTCACATAGGCAAGGCATGTCCAGAGCTACAACAAGTTCACATCCAACCACAGAGCATCATTCTTTCAAAACAAGACACACAAATTCACGCCAGCAAAACACAGGTGGAGCCGCCGTCATAATACAACCATGGAACAAAAAAGTGACAAGGATCTGACAGGCTCAACCTCAAGTGCAAGCAAAAACTCATGCAATCGCTGCCAATCCGCTATTACAGCTCTGTATTTTTGCCCGCTTCAAGTTGCTTCCCCTACCAGAGGGAAGCCAAACCTCACTGATGCGCCTGAGAGTTTTCCTCCGAAACCACCAGTCCAAAAATTCCCAGTCCTGCATGCGGGCGTATGGTGCGGGATGTACTGGGGTGCCGCTTGCCTGGAAATACATCTCTACATGAAATCCATCCAGGTAAATCGGGCCCTGCATGCGACCCGTCTGCATGGATTTCAAGGCAAAGAAAAACACCATCCCCCCCGAACATCCCACCCGACATGCCTGCATGCATGGTGCGTCTTACGAAAATGGCTGGCAATCGTACTGGTGGTTGAACTGTGTGTGCAGCATTAGCGAACCCATTTAGGGCATACTCACACGAGGACTTTTTCCACAAAGCTCTGGACGTGATTGCAGTCACATGCATCCTGGTTAGGCTGTAATTGCAGTTAGATGCATTCTGGAAAGTGCTAGTGTGAGTACGCCCCTAGGAATCTACAGCGAATATGCAGTGAACTGGAAAGCTTCAGCAACAGTGGCCAGTATTTTCCAAATCTCTTGCTCCGACTCCTGTGCTCCAATACCCAATATCAAGTTGTTGCACCTGTTGATCCTGAGCTGGAACAGTCACCTGAACCTATCTGTGCACCAATAGGAGTCCTGGCAGAGACCCACCAAATTTGTCAAAGGGGTGTAAGAGCTCTGTGATGGATCACAGAATGGCAGAAAGCTCCAGAACATTGAACCTTATCATCTAGAGGAAGGAGAAGTCGTAACAAGGTTTCCGTAGGTGAGCCCGCAGAAGGATCATTGGCAAAAGAAGACGAAACAAAAGAAGTGAGGCCTTTTGTGCTACAACGAAAAGATAAATCGGCTGCTGCCAGAAATGGACACACTTCAGTAGTTAAATCACCGGTACTTTTCCCAGCTATTTTGTTCCAACCCAGCCATCAAACGTCGCTCCGCACCCGGGGCGCCGCCAACCAAACGAAGGCTTCCAGGGCACTGCCGACCAAAACGAAATGGCTCGTGCCGCCAGCCAAAACGATTTGATGTCACAGTGCTTTCCCCAGCTATTTTGCTCCAGCCCAGCCATTAACATTCCGCATCTTCCGGGGCTCGGCCGACCAAAAAGAAATGGCCGGTGGCACCCACCAAAAGAGTTGATTTTGCGCCCGCACCATTTCGCAAAAAATCGGCACACACCACAAATCGGCATCGGGAAAGTGAGGCTCGGTGGTTTTTACCACCACGACCATCATCTGGGCCCCGGTTCTCACCTTAGCTCCAAGAGGCTGCACTCCAGCATCGAGTAAGGTGAGTGCCATGCACAGCGATGGTGCTTCCCGCACCAGAGAGGAGGAAAAACTTTGATTGAATCAACACTTCATGCCTCTTGGGAAAGCTAAAACTAAAAAGAGTGAGAACCTTGATCTGCTAGCCGATGTGATTTCAAATGTGCAGACTCAAGAAAAATCTCGGGAAACAAGATTGTGGTCCCGTCTGTTAAGTTTAGAGAACATCGGTTTATGACCAGATCGCGCTGTGTTCTCAACACTTCTTTTTGTCCAAGGCAAAACCTTCGATTACATTTGAGGGGAATCCTCCAAGCAAGTCTCTGAAGCACAACCCTAGACCAAAAACGGAATGGAAAGTCCTCTGTTGCTGTCACAAGGAGGGGCAGAGAGCTCTGCTCTCTGATGTGCCAATCGAAACCATACACAGCTCTCTGATGTGCCAATCGAAACCATACACAGCTCTCTAATGTGCCAATAAAAACCATACACAGCTCTCTCATGTGCCAATCAAAAGCATACTGCATGTCAGGTGAGAGAAGAGAGAGTGTTGGGCTGCAGGCGCTTTAGTAGCCTACTCCTTCAAAATCACCGCTGGGCCGCCGTCAATAATTTTCATATGCGCCGACTGGCCTCCGAATTTTTCAATTTGGAGGCCCGCAGCCCCATATGCAAGAAAGTGTCGTAGTGGTTTAAGGAGGAAAAAAAAGGTTGAACCGTACACTTTCCGGCCCTTTTCATCATTAAGGTGGGAAAGTGGTACATGGTTTCATTCACTCTGCTGGGAAGCCTCTTGCATTGGCATCATCAGCGTTAAACCACCACTACCTCCTCCGAGCTCTCTTTCTCCTGTGGCGGATTTATCTTGTGCGCCAAATTCAAAATGCACCAGAGCAGTCGGCTCATGATTTACCTTTTTGGCTGGAGGCGCCAGCCAAAGAGGTCTGCAAGACCGAACACACAAAAAACTGCGGATGTAAATAACTTCATCTGAAGACTGGACCATGAAAGACGGCCTATGAACGGTGGCCCATGAAAGGTGGCGTCCATTTAAACCGCCACTCCCCCAAAACTCCGAAGGTGGCGGCCGTTTACACCGCCACTCCCCCCAAACTCCGGAACTGTCACACATGTGTGCACAGCGGTAAGGGGGAAGCTGCAGACCAGTGTGCGTGGGAGGTCAGCAGGGGTTTGCAAAATACAACGCGTGCCAGAAGCTGTGGACCTAAGCGCACGGGGGTCCAGCAGGGGTTCGCAAAATACAAAGTGTGCCAACTTCGGCGATTTTCACGCTCAGAAGAATGCACAAAAAATCCAGCAAAAATCAGTCACATGGGTTCCGCACTGATCTCTTTTTTTATTC